AAACAACCATCTCGCTTTAGGTTCTTTTTGGTAAATAAACAAGATGTTGCGCAAACTGCCATCATCATACTCCCCACTGCTTCCATACTTACTCTTGGGTCTAGACTCAAATCGGCTCATCAATAAGGGCCACCCTGCAACGGGGTCAGGCTTGCTTAAACTGAGCTGAATGACTTGCGAATGATCTCCTTCTTGAACAGCGACTTTAACAGTATTAGGATCAACATACTGGCGTCGTGACCAGCGATCATTGACAAACAAACCTACTAAAAACAAGATGACAGCTAAAAGAGCAATGCTATTGACCTTCTTAATCACTGAAAAAAATTTTTCCATGCCCATTGCTCCTAAACATCACACTGACTAAACCATCATTTCAATCAAATAAATCAGACAATTACAAAACCGCCCTTCTAAAATCAGTCAACACATTGGCCAAAAAGACACAAAACCGTGCCGCATCGGCTCCATCGATGACACGATGATCATAAGATAAGGATAAGGGCTGTATCAAACGTGGTACAAAATTTTTGCCGTCCCAAACGGGTTGAATTTTACTGCGACAAGCACCTAAAATTGCGACCTCTGGCGCGTTAATGATAGGTGTAAACGTTGTGCCACCAATCGAACCTAACGAAGAAATCGAAAAAGTTCCACCCTGCATTTGATCGATTTTTAATTTACCTTCTCGCGCTAGTTTTGCTAGCTCACTCATTTCTTTGGCTATTTCGATAAGACCTTTTTGATCTGCTTGACGGATAACTGGAACGACCAAGCCATTTGGCGTATCGGCTGCAAAACCAATGTTGTAGTATTTTTTGAGCACCAAATCATCACCATCTAAGGAAGCATTAAAACGTGGAAATTGCTGCAACGCACAAACCGCCGCTTTAATCATAAAGGCCAACGGTGTAATTTTAACGCCATGCTCGCCCTTTTTGGCTTGCTCAAGATTAAGTGTTTCTCTAAAACTTTCCAAATCGGTAATATCAGCTTCTTCATTCTGTGTCACATGAGGAATCGATACCCAATTACGATGTAAGTTGTCACCAGAAATTTTTTGAATTTTCGATCTGGGTACTCGTTCAATATCACCGTATTTTGTAAAATCAACCTTAGGCCACGCAATCACAGAAATGCTGCCCTCTGTTGACACAAATGGTTTTACCTGCGAAGCCGACACAGTTTCAGAGACAGCACTGGCCGCAGCTGCCTGAGTTAAGGTTTGTACCGCATTGGCTTGCGAAGAACTTTTGCCCTCAGCTACCATCGCTTGTTGTCTAAGATTGACAAACGTTTGTTTAGTAAATTCCGTAACATCCTCTTTTGTTACGCGTCCGTGTGGTGCGGTTCCAGCAACTTGATTAATATCGACCCCCAATTCGCGTGCAAATTTACGCACAGCAGGCCCTGCATGTTTGACATGTTCATCTAAAATGACTTGTTCAACCAAGGAGTGATGATCTTCCGCCAAAGGCTTACCAATATAAACTTTTGCATTTTCAACAAGATGATCAACTTCTGGTGCACTTTGAGGTGCCGACACCACAACAGGTGGTGTGACAACAGAAGTTTGCCCTTCCACATGACGCTCAGTTGAGTCAGCCAACTCTCCTTCGATCAACCCTGCCACTAAAGGATCTTCACTTTTCACGACCGTTTTGATAGCGTTTTCAAATGAGTCGCTCAGACCATCTTGCCTCAGATCTTGGTTGTCGACCATGATTTCAACAATCGGATCACCTGTCTTGACAGCCTGTCCAACCGTTTGCAACACCTTAATAACCACCCCAGCTTGTGGACTAGGTACATCCATACTCGCTTTATCGCTCTCTAATGTTAATAAAGGGCTTTCAACAGCGATCGTATCACCTTCCTTAACAAAAACTTCAATAATATTAACCGCTTCATCTGTGCCAATATCAGGAACCCGAATTACCGTTGTTTGCTGAGAAACGGTTGTAGCCCCCTGATTGCCGTTGCTCGCCGCAATATTCCCCGAGGTCATCGATGCTAAGATAGGTAAATTTGTCTTTTCCACGTCTACTGAAGCTTTAGCCACAGGTGCTACACCACTGTTGTTATCAACCACAACCTGACTATTTATAGGCAATGTGCTAGGGATAACCTCTGCTTGCGCTACTTGTAAATCACTTGCTCCCTGCCTATCGTCATCAAGAGCATCTAGTGCATTTTTAGTGGCAGCGATCGTTCCTAACATGGCTGGTGGTAAACCATCGCTCGACTCTAAGGTCATTGGGCGAGCAGAACCCACATCAAATATCGTTTGCTCTAGGGTAAAAAGCACATCACCTTGCTTGACCTGGTCACCCACTTTAATATGCACGGCCACGATTTGACCCGACTGCTCAGCGGGTACATCCATACTGGCTTTATCACTTTCCAAGGTCACCAAGACATCATTGACCTTCACGTCCTGCCCTTCTTTAACCCAAAGATCGATAATAGCAACAGCGTCATCGGTTCCGATATCTGGGACTTTAATCTTGATCTGCGTCATGTGAACACCTAACAGGTAAATAATTTATAGCGATAAGAATCATTATTGGTATAACGGATAAACCTTATCAACATTAATTTGATATTTATCAATAGCTTGAGCAACAATATGGCGTTCAATTTTACCTTCATCAGCCAACGCTTTTAAACTTGCCAACACAACCCAATATCGGTCAACCTCAAAGTGACTGCGTAAACGTTCACGTATATCGGAACGCCCAAAACCATCCGTGCCCAACACATGGTAATTCCCTTTCACCCAAGGACGAATTTGCTCGGCAAAAGCACGAATATAATCGGTGGCAGCAATCACAGGGCCTGCACTCGTAGCTAAACATATCTCAACGTGTGAACGCTGAGGGGCTTCGAGGGGATGGAGCATATTAAAGCGTTCAATAGCCTGTCCATTTCGAGCTAATTCCGTAAAACTTGGGCAACTCCACAAAATACTTGAAATACCCCAATCACTTGCCAACAACCTAGCTCCTTCAATGACTTCAAGCAAAATTGTTCCGGAACCTAGCAAATTCACTTGCAAATTTGCATTGGCTGCGTGGATTTCTTGAAGACGGTACATACCTTTAAGAATATCAGCTTCTTTACCTGATGGCATCGCAGGATGAGCATAGTTTTCATTCATGACCGTCACATAATAAAAAACATCTTCCTGTTTGGTAACCATCCGCTCTAAACCGTGTTGAACAATCACAGCTAACTCATAGGCAAACGTTGGGTCATAACTCACACAGTTTGGAATGGTTGCAGACCATAAGTGTGAGTGCCCATCTTCGTGTTGCAAACCTTCGCCATTGAGGGTGGTACGTCCAGCAGTTCCCCCCAAAATAAACCCACGTGAACGAGAATCGCCCGCTGCCCAGATCAAATCCCCCACTCGTTGAAAACCAAACATAGAGTATAAGATCAGAAACGGAATCATTTGGATATTATGAGTCGAATATGCCGTTGCAGCAGCTATCCAGTCGCACAAAGCTCCAGCCTCATTAATCCCTTCTTGCAAAATTTGTCCTGATTTGTCCTCTCGGTAAAACATCAACTCATCATGGTCTTCGGGGGTATATAGCTGCTTTTCGGGATCATTTCCGTATTCCTGTACCTGATGAAATGTTAGAGAGCTTACCTTTTGTCAAATTTGAACCAGGGAGCCTCGAATACCAGTTTATGCATGA